AACAACAACAGCAACAGCAGTAGCAACAGGAACAGCAACAACAAAAGCAACAGCAACAACAACTCCGTCCCTCAATACTCCCATGCAACAGTTGAAGGCTCGCTCTGCGTCCTAGATGGGACTTTCCGAAAATTAGGGGTACCTTATTTTGGGGTCCTTATAATAAGGATCCTATTATTAAGGGTACTATATTAGGGTGCCCTATTTTCGGAAACCCCCAGATGGCATCCCCTGGGCCTCCAGCTGCGTCACGCCAAAGCCAGTCTCCCCAGTTGTCCCGACGCAGGAGAGGTCGCGGTACAAAGCAACGAGCTTCCGGTAGTTCGATGCGAGCAACCTGGGAGTTTCCGAAAACTAGGGGTACCTTATTTTGGGGTCCTTACAATAAGGACCCCAATTATTTGGGGTACTATATTAGGGTCCCCTATTTGCGGAAACCCCCACCTAGCCGTGGTGGCACTTGGGGGTCTAGACTCCACCATCCCTTCGTGTAAGGTTCCATCATTAGAGGTCCCTACGACGATTCAGTCGGTATGAATGAATCAATGGAACTTGGGCACCAAAGCCCCTTCTTTTCCGGAACTGCAGACTGCGGAACTGCCGGTGGGCTGGGCGTGCTGTTAAGACTCGCCTTGTGGGCTTGTGGGTGGCACAGAAGAAGAGCCACCGTAGCGGCACACATGTTCGGAAAGGCAAGAACATTCTGAATTCGAAGCAAAGTAGCCCTTCATGCCCTAAACCCCAAACCCTAAACCTAGTGTTTGACAAGACGTTTGGATTGAGTTGGCACTGCTCTGGTCAGAGTCGGGCGCGCTCGGATTGCGGCTAAGCCTTCCTCGGTTCCCTCGCAAGCCGAACCCCAGGGCCCAGGAATCTTTCAGAGGGATCCTTGGTAAGATGCAAGGTATACTGGGGGGTTTCTGAAAATAGGTGACCCTAATACAGTACCCTAAATAATAGGATCCTTAATATAAGGACCCCCAAAATAAGGTACCCCTAATTTTCGGAAACTCCCACTTAGTTGGATTCTCTGACGTCTGAGCCCCTGACCAAGCCCCCGGACACTTCACCGTACTTCACCTCTCTCAGACAGGCCGAGGAGCTGCTGCGTGTCTTGCCGGTCCGGATCTTTGCTCACCTGTGGTTAAGGCACGTCGGGCATCTATATGGCTAGTTGTAGAATCTAAGCTTTACAGCAACAACCTCAGCAAACACACCGCGCTATCTATGACGTAGAGGTCTTAAACAGTGAACAAGGTTTTGGGGTTCACTAGACTCCAGTTATACCACGGAACCCGAGGAATTATTTAGGCTTGTAAATTCATTAAGAACCTCTGAAAGCTTCACGTATTATACTTATACTACACCCTGACACTAACCCCTTTTAACTTATGGGTCCCTTTCAAACGAGCCATTCTAGTAACCCTTATCGGAAGCCTCCCAGTAACCCTTAATAATTAGACCAGGTTCCTTCTTACTTATAAATATATAAAGGACACCAAAACCCTATTCTAATGATTAAGAACCTTATAATTAGCCTTCCAGTAACCCGAGTTGGAGGCAATTAGACTAGGTTCCTTCTGATAAATAGAGTCTAAAGGACCATTAAAGCCCCTATTATAGAACCTTTTCATAAGCCTTGTAGTAACCCTAAGCCCCTAAACCCTAAACCCCTAAACCCGAAAAGCCCTAAACCCTAAAAGCCCTAAACCCGAAAAGCCCTAAACCCTAAAAGCGACCTAAACCCCAGTAACCCGAGTTTGAGAGAAGTCGCCAACCGGGCGACTTTGGCCCTTGACCAGTCGAGCAGGAAGCACTCCTGAACCTGGCATTGAAAGGAAACTACAGGTGGGGAGTTTAGAGTTTAGGGCCATAGGGCTTCTACAAGGCTTCTCTAAGGTATATAGACCTTCTATAAGGCTCCTATAGGAATCTGGAAACTCCACTGACAGATTTGACTGCAGAGGGACCCTACCACCGAAGAACCCCATAGCCCCAGGCCCCAAAACCCCAAAAGCCCAAACCCTGAAACCCTGAAGCCCTAAACCCAAAATCCCCCTAAACCCCCAAAAGGAACCTTGAAAAGAACCCTCATGGGGAGCCTTGCAGGAACCCTTTATAGAAACCCTGCACCCCAAAACGCTGAACCCTACACCCCAAACCCTCCCAAAACCCCGAACCCTGAAGAAGCCCTAAACCCTAAACCCTAAACCCCAAATCGGAGGAAGAGTCGCAGCCGGGGCGCGACTTTCTCAGACTCCCGGCGGAAGGACACGTAGAAGGCCGGGCCGCGCGGGAGCTTCGTTCTCATGCCTGAAGCGTAATGTAGGGTTTAGGGTTTAGGGTTTAGGGTTTAGGGTTTAGGGTTTAGGGTTTAGGGTTTAGGGTTTAGGGTTTAGGGTTGCTAGAGTATAATATATAGTAATTGATATTGTATTCTACCTTACTTTAGTATACTATACTATAATGTACTATCCTATACTATATACTATACTGAACTCTAAACTACTATCCTATACTATGACATAGTATCGACACCGTTTACTCGGAGGATGACGGGATTCAGTGACTAAGGCGATCGTTGCCGTAGTCAAAAGTAAGGTCAGCTGCAACACTGTCCACCCACTCCCACAACTTCCGAATCTCGAGCTCAAGTCATGACTTTCTGACTCGGCGAGTCGTCAAAGTGCACCACCTGCTGTGCTGCCGGTTCGACTGACTTTAGGCATGTTCTCTCATGAGGACGTGTAGGGGGATTGGGATGTATTGGGGTGTTGGATTCTCGATCAGCCACGTTGCGAAACTCGGTTTCTGTGATGCGTGGCATCTGCACCTTGGCATGTGAATGCAAAGCTCCAGAATCCGAAGTCTGTGTTTGTGCGAAGGGATAGTAGCCTTAAGCCGTCTACCCTAAACCTAACTTTTCACGATGCACTGCATGGTTGCTTCGAAAACACAATACTTCGACATGTTGTAGACGGCTTGTAACCGTCTCTGGCGTTGTTTTCAAGGACGAGCAACTGCAACATAGCGCCCTTTCTAAGGAAGAAAGCCGGTAAAGATTGAAGTGCGCTTCTAAACTATAAAGGGTACTGACTTCTCTGAGTTCCGCGGGAATTCTGAATGCCTCCGGCATCCAAAGCATCGATATCCAGGAATCCAGGCTACCCTGAAATCCTGAATCTTAAAACCTAACCTCAACCTGAGCCTGACTTCTTAAACTCTCAACCCCAACCCCAAACCTGAACTTGATATCTTTCAACCCTAAACCCTAAACTATGAACCAGACATCTTCAATGCCACGCCTGAAAGCTGAGCAAGCTTCAACCCTGAAGCTCAGCCACTTTGGAGGCACTGTGACCAACAACAAACTCCGAGCCGCATGCTTAACCCGAGCCCCCGGAAACCTCAAGCTCAAAAGCTTGCGTCGCAGGTGATTTGGGTTTTCTCTCAAGCAGAGTCGCAAAAACTCACAAGTCTTGTCGGGCGACTGGTCCGGTTCCTTCCGGGCCATCAAGGAGGACACTGCGCTGGGCGCAGCCCGTCCCCAGAGCGCTCAGCGCAGAGCGCAGCAAGGCCGCTCTGGGGGTCCTCTGACCACGACCAGGTTACTGGGTTGCTGTTCAGGAACTTAATCTAAGTTACCATGATGGGAAGATACATGTATATATATATATATATGTATATTTATTAGCAACTAGTAGGGTTTCCATAGTACAGTAACTGAATGTAAGCTCCGTAACAGCAGCCCCGGTTAGGGTGGGCGCAGGGGCGAACAAAGGGCCTGTTTGGGGCCTTACGGTTTGTAGGGTTGAGCGCGGTGGGCTCGTGGTGCCCACAAGGTCTATAGGGCTTTAGGGCTTCAGGGTTTAGGTTTAGGGTGAGAGTCTACTGGACGGATCATGGGTGTAGGTTATGTGTCATAAATCGGGTAGCCAATTATGGGAATTGAGAGCCTGAACACACGTACATAAATGCTCTCACACACATGTATATATATATATATATGTATATACATGCGTATATATACATATACATACATATATATGTATACATATATATATATATATACATATGTATATATATATACATATGTATATATATACATATATATATATATGTATATTCAAAAATCGACACTTGGCACAGTGATCGTCCTCAGCACAAGCCGATGTTCCAAAGCTTTGCCCACGTGCCGGCTTTCTTGGACCACCACCTCCTCAAGGAAAGTCCATGTAAACCCAAAACCCTTAACTCTAAACCCCTAAACCCTCAACCCTAAACCACCTTCCCTAAACCCTAAACCCAAATGTCTTTCTGGGTTGAGGGTCTAAGGGGCTTAGGGGTCTACAGGAGTGTCTTTCTGAAGCTTGCCGCGCAAGAGCATGCATCTCAAGGGGAGTCTTAGTGTTCAGTGTATTAGACTGGGGTTGTCGGGGTCCTGTACACTCCTTCTAAACCCTAAACCCTAAACCATGAGGGGGTCTAAGCCCTAAACCCTAAACTACACTCCTTCTAACTAGCCATGAGGACTAAAGATAAAGAACTATTCCGACCCCTGCGTTACGGTCGTCCCTTTCCTTCGCCAGGATTGTCTCGGAACTAATCTAGGGGCCTTTATAATTCGAATAGGGTTTTGGGGTATATCATGGTATAAATATAATAAGGAACCCCACCCAACAAAAAATAAGACGGGCAATTATACCCTAAACCCTTATAGTGGCCCTTGTAGAACCCTCTAAGGAGCCCCCCCCCAAAGAACCCTATGCTCACTCCTTTGGCCCTTATAATAGATATCTCGTATCTCGACTCTCGGCTTGGTCCCTGCGAAAGGCAGCTCTGATGAGAAGCAAGGAGGCTTGCAACATGTCATATCTGCTGCATCATATACTGTAGGGGCCTTAATAATTTCAATAGGGTTTGGGTGCCCATCATACTATAGTTATAATAAGGAACCCCAAAATAGTATTGGTAATTCTTTAGGCCCTTACATGACCATATATGATATTTCATATAGCACTTCATACATCATATGCCATCATATGTTATAATACACTATATCATATAGCCGCATATCATATTCAAAGCCGTCCTGATCCGGAGGTGGGGCCAAGATCGGAAGCTCCTCGCGAAGCGGGAGCATGCCATGAGCCGATAACGATGATCCACTCCCCCCTTCAAAACCAATCTCAGAAGCCTTAAGGTTAGAGTGCTCGCCAAAAAAAGTATCACTGAGGGGTTTAGGGACCCATTCAAAACAATCTCCGAAGCTTTAAGGCTAGAGTTTAGGGTTTAGGTGTTCGCCCCCCCAAAAAAGTATCACTTGAGGGTTTAGGGGTTTGGGGAACAACCCATGGGCCAGAGACTTTCGGGCTTTTAGGGCTTAGGGCGGTTTAGGGTTTAGGCTTTCGGGAGCTTCGGCTTCAAGGAGTTTGTTTTGCTCAAAGCCCTCTTCGCAAGACCTTTATCGCCTGCAAAGAGTCCTCAACCCTAAACCCTACGACCCTTGCAACCCCAAACCCTAAACCCAAAGCCCCAAGCGGGTTTCGGTTTCAGGGAGTCCTCGCAGGCGCGGAGCTCGATCTCGATGGGCGTGGCGAGGTCTTCGATCTCACACCCGGCAGGAAGTCTCAGAGCACTGTCCACCTTTCAGGGTATCAGGGTTTGTATTAGGCTGTTGCTTTAATACCAGCAATTAGGGTTCGAAGGGTTTGGGGTTCGCACTGGGGTTCAGGGTTTTGGGGGCAGGGTTTGTATCAGGGTTACTACTGTCGATGATGTGAATCCTGCATTACCTTAAGGACCCGAAACTATGGGAATTATGGTATATTCCTTATTCAATTATGGGTGATGCAGGATTTGCATCATCAACCTAGACCCTAAACCCTAAACAGGATTTACGTCATCAGCCGTAGGGCCAGTTGAGGGGCTCAGGATCTTTGGAAAGCCAAAGCAGGCTGAAGGCAGCTGCCCAGACCCCCAAAAGGATCTAAAAAATAGATTACCTAATTAGGGACCCTAACTACTAAAGGGTACTTTATAGGAACCCTTTAGGGGATCTATTTTTTAGATCCTTCTGGGGTGTCTGGGTAGTGCATGAGAAGACCCTAAGGTTCAGGGGCCTTCATAATTAGAATAGGGTTCTTTTGGGGCTCCTTTGAAGGGTTGCTTAAAGGGCTCAAAAAGGTTTTAGGGTTTAGGGCCTTAATAATTAGAATAAGGCTTTGTGGGGTATATTATACCATAATTAGAATAAGGAGCCCCCCAACATAGTATAGTAATTATTAAGGCCCCTATATTAGCCATATTATACCATAATTATAATAAGGAACCCCCCCAAAATAGTATCGGTAACTATTCAGGCCCCTATATTCGCCAAACCCATGGCAGCCTGCCTGGAAAATGACCAGCACTCTGCAGCTCCTGGGAATCATCCGGGCGGCCACGAACCGGTTTCCGGTCTGCCGCTCTCCTAGGCTTCGAGGTTGGGTTTGGGGTTTAGGGTTTACGGTTTAGGGTTCTACGGTATTAAGATGTAGGTGAAGCCTTGCTTATCCAGGGTTCTCCAGCGACCAAATTGAGGCAAGGAAACTGGATAAGTGCGCTTCTTCAGAGGTCATTGCAAAGATTTAGGCAGCTAAAGGGCAGAAGCCGCTATTATGATGAATATAGAAGGGCCTTACATTAGGATGGGGTTTTGGGGATGATGAAAACAGAAGTATGAGAAGGAACCAGAAGGGACAGTGTTGGTAAACACCCCAAACCCTAAACCCTACAGTAATATAGGGGCCTTAATAATTCGAACAAGGTTTGGGGCTCCTTGAAAGTATATTTATACTAAGGCACCCCCAAAAAAAGTGTAGGTAATTATTTAGGCTCCTATATTAGGCTGGCGCACCACGGGACATGACATGAGCATGGCATGCAGCCCGAAAAGCACCGGAGTTATGGCCCTGTGACACGAACCCCAAAGCCCTAAACCCTAATGTCGGGGCCTTCATAACTTTTCATATGGTTTTTGGCGGATATTGCGACAGTTACTAAGTAGAACAAGGTTGAAGAACTGCTAGTCGTGTGGATTCCGCTCTCTTACATACCCGAAGCCCTGAGTTGAGCTCTACTGAAGCCTCTGCTCTACGATTTCATGACACTTCCTTCGCTGGTCTTGCGCACCCAGTGGAAGATCAAGGACCCTCCAGATTATGCGTTTTTGTTTTTTTGAGGGTCTTTTTGGTGTCTGCCGTGGTGGGTTTAGGTTTCAGGGTTTGGGGTTTATATTTTATATTTATAAGTCTAAGTCCAGCAACGTTGGGGATGAATCGCAGCTTCAGCGGCCGTTCTTCTTCTCCTCTTTCAATCTCAAGCCGGCACGGAAGCCGTCAATGGACGTGAAGGCCCACACGGCCTGCATTTTGGGCGTGATGTGTTGCTTTTTGTCGAAAAGCTGGGGTTCCGCACGTGCAGCTCGGGCATTTAAAGGCGCGCACGGATTGTTGGAGGGAGCGCTTTGTGCCTGTCTCTCCTAGCTACCTGTAGCCGAAAAGACCTACTTCTCTAGGGTTCCAGATTTTGGTTTCTATATATATATATATATATGGTTCCTTAGAAAAATAGGTCGTTTGGGCCACAGGTACTGATCACACCACACCGAGGTGTCAAGTGCTGTATTTCCATGACGTCCCGAATTTCGTAAAACGTGGCATACCCCAGTTCCAGCAATGCCCCACTCTTCTCAATGCAGGAATACCCCTTATAGGCAGCCTAGGGTGTTTTCCCGTTTAATATACTGGTTTAGGGTTTAGGGTTAATATACTCCTTACTTAAACTGTCTATGGGCGAGAGAGGAATTAGTGAAATGTATTGGGCTATGTCGAGAGTTTCATGAGACTAAGGAAGCCTAAGGTCTAGTGGGTAGTTCTCTAAATTAGAGTCCCAAAAACAATACGGCACCCTTATAAAAAAGGACATTAAAAGGGTCCCTTATTTAGAAGACTACCCTTATGTTGGTAATCATTCAGCCCCCCTTTGAAAACCCGCAGTAAACCCATGTTAGACCCCTTTCAAAGGAACCCTCTTTGGGGTATATTGTACTTTAATATACTATAATTAAAAGGCCCAATTAAAATAAGGAACCCCCCAAAAGAGTATAGGTAATGACTCAGGCCCCTATAGTAACCCACGGGAACCCTAAACCCTGAACCCTAAACCCCTAAACCCCTAAACCCTAAACCCTAAACCCCTAAACCCCCAAAACCCCAAAACCCCAAACCCCAAACCCTAAACCCCTATAAACCCCCTAAAACCCCTAAAACCCCCCTATAAACCCCTATAAACCCCCAAAACCCCACGGGCCTTTGGAATCGGGTCACCTTCTGCCGGCATCCAAACCAGCTCATGTCGCTCCCACCCTGCAACTAAGGCAGCCGAGGCATGGGTTGGCTTAGGGTTTAGGGGTTTAGGATTTAGGGTTTAGGGTTTAGGGTTTAGGGTTTAGGGTTCAGCAGGTCCGGATCGAGCAGTTTTTAAGTATAGCGGTATTCAAGGCTTTGATAGAACACCCACCCACCCTCAGAATCCCATAACATTAAGAAAATACAAAGTTCGTTTTATTATTCTTTAGCCAAGTTCTTTTCACGAAGTTCGTTTTATTATTCCTTAGCGAAGTTCTCTACAACTTAGCGTCATACCTT